AAAAAAAAAAAAAAAAAAGACACACCACTCTCGAAAACTGCATTTTAAACATTTTCTCCATTAAGGGCCTGCAACTTGTGACGCAATTTCAACATTAATAAATTCGAAACAAGAAATTAAGGGCCTCGCCACGCCAATGTCGAAAACTGCATTTTCGACATTTTCTCCTCGCCACACAGCATGTCGAAATCCGAGATGCAAAAAAAATTCAGGAGCTGTCCCGGAAAGGGTTTCGACACCTCTCCTCTCTCTCGAGAAGGGCTCTTTTCCACTTCAGCCCTGCAACTTGGACATTTTCAACAGTCCTCGGATGGGATGTCGAATTCTTGCCCGAATGTCGAAAAGGAGAACGCACCAATGCTTGTCCTATCTTCAACCCAGTTTGTCTCTTTGGTGCATAGGAGCTGTGAGTTCTTCACTTGGAAATGCTGTGTGGCGCAGAGGGTTTTTCTGTCGAAAGAGGGAATGTCGAGAATTTCCTGACATATGTCGAATTTCGTGATGTTTCAACATTGGTGATATTTCGACATTGGTGTGGCGAGGCCCTGAAAAACTGAAAAGAAAAGCTAGAAACAGCTTTTGTCCTGATTTTTTATAACATAACTCGGAGAAATGAAATGAAACATGTCTGGAACAGTCGGTGTGAATGTCTCCGTGAAAAAGGGATACTCACCGTGGTGAGGGGACACAGGAGGTCACCATTTGTAAAATGGAAAGGGACAACATGGACGACCAAATGCATTCATTGCCCAAAGAAGGAAATGAGTTTGATACCAGAGAGCCAAACACAGCCGTCAGATGATGCTCAAAGGGGGAGGGGTAATCGGGGAGGCACAGCTACTGGCCACTCAGATGATGCTCGGTCCCTCTGCGGCCGACTGTCCCCTGGCCGGTGTCCCCTGTTGGGGGTTCCCTGAAGGCAATCAAGGCCACCCTGGGCTGAAAAGGCCACCCGATGTCAGATTAGAGACAAAAGATTGAATTTACCTGGGCTGGTTAGTCCGATGATAATACCTCAAGGCATCGCCCTTTAAAAAAAAAAAAAAAAAAAAAACCACAGCCGTCAGAGTTCTTCCGTTTCAGGATGTAATGCTGTCTAAAAAACCCCAAAAAAGCAAAGGCACTGCAGTTGAGAAATGTACCCTACCCTCGGTAGGGTAGCTTTCTCCATGCCAAATGGTTTCCCGCCCAAACCAAAAGGGCCAAAGCATACTACAAGACGGATTTCACGTCAAAATGACAAAATCTACTTATAGATTATTCTCCTGTATTTCGGTACCATTAGATTCGCAATTCACCAACATCGACGGCAGAGCTCCGTCCCACCATGCCACACTTGATAGAAAGCTAAGCGTTGAGAATGAGAAAACTCAACGCTGTAGGTGGGATCAGACCGTCGTTCAATATGTCGTGGAATCTGGTTCAAAACGATGAAATTAATACTGTCAAGCAGAGCTGAAATCTCAAAAAAAAAAAAAAAAAAAAAACTCGGAAGCTCGTTGAAGGGGGCCAATACATGGCGCCGCATCGAACCAAAAAAAAAAAAAAAAAAAAAAAAACATGTTGACACTCACGTCCGCAGAACGAAGTGTCCGGCGTAGGCTGCTGCTGCAACGGGATTGACATTGCTTCTCTTGTCCTTGATGAGCTTGAGGACTCGAAGCTGAGCGAGGTGCAAGTGCCCAAACTCGATTACACACACGTCGGTCCATTCCGTGATGACGTTTTTCAGCGGCCCGTCGTCTACGAATTCACAGTCGGCGACTTCCGTTGACGCCAACAGAAAGAGGAAAAGGAGAGGGAGGATGAGGAGATGGAAGAGGGCACGTGGTTCCCTCTCTGATCGCCTCCCACCCTGTACCGACGGAGCTGGTTCAAGGAGAGAGCGGAGACTCTGAGCGGAACCCAACCCCCCGCTTGGGCTATGCCCATGATGCTGCTGCCATCCCGGTGCCATGGCTGCTAATCGTCTCTCAATGACCAGAGGAGGGAGAAGGGAGGAGGAAGAAAGGTGGAGTGGGTTGGGTTTCCCACCGCTCCGAGTCTGTGGGTAAATACTAAGGGATGGCGTTTTCTTCTTTTCCTTTTTATTTGGGGGCGGGGGGGGGGAGAGGAGGGGGAATGGGGTTTTCTCGCACTCTGGCAGCCCCATGCCGAGTCTGCGCACTGCGTGACGAAACTCAGGCCGTGTTCAGGCGAAACTTGGCCAAATGCAATGTTACACTACCCAGAGACCCGCCGCCGCACCACTCACCAAATGTGCAACATGGAAATGAATCTTCCTGTTAAACATGGAAACATGTACGGCCATAATTTTTGTCGCACTTCCCCAGAGCCCCGCCGCACCACTCACCAAATGTGCAACATGGAAATGAATCTTCCTGTTAAAAATGGAAAGATGCACGGCCATAGTTTTTNGTTAAAAATGGAAAGATGCACGGCCATAGTTTTTGTCACACTTCCCCAGAGCCCCGCCGCACCACTCACCAAATGTGCAACATGGAAATGAATCTGCCTGTTAATCATGGAACGATGCACGGCCATAATTTTTGTCTTTTCAGCATTTGGCGAGTGGTGCCGTGAGGCCCTACCGTAGCTCGCAAAAACGGAAGGGCACCAAACAATACAAGAAGTAGTGAGCCTCATCTCCTGCAGTGAAGCTGAAATCCTGGCCTCACAAAAAAAAAAAAAAAAAAAAAAAAAACATGCATTTGTTTTTAATACAAAAATTCCGAGGCCGGGGACCAAGTCCCACTTGCAGCGGTTTAGTTCCCGTAGCCAGTACTGCACGACACTGTGTGACTTCGTGTGGCAATGTGCGGCTGGTTCACAAACGACGGGTTAAATCGCGAAAAATAACAGGATTTGAACGTGCTGAATGACAGTAATGATGAAAGGCCGGTCAGTCTGGTAACCAGGGTATGGCAGCGGCATTGTCGGGAAAAACTTTTAGTTTCTGTGGAAGTACAAGAGGCTGGACGGTCCCCACGTCTAGCCCGACTGGGGTCAGGCTACGGACGAGGACCGTTCCCTGCGAGTGAAAGAGCTCATTCCGACTATAACAGCCAATGGGAAACCGCTACATAGCAACATTCAATCCATTCGGTTCGAAGAAAAACATAACCGACCATGCGCCCTACGATCAATGTGAATCAGCGGTCAGGAAACGTGTCGCACAAAACACAGGGTCCCGAACTGAGGACTAAACCGCTGCAAGTGGGACTTGGTCCCGGGGACCTCACAATTCCGATAGACCACTGGATCCCCCGATCGGCATCAAGCAGAGTCTGCTATGTTCGTAGGGGAGGGGCCTGAGGGGAGGCACGGGGGATTGGTCCCCTTTATCCCTGGTGCTACCGGCCGTCCCCTGGCCGGTATCCTGCAGGCTGGAGGGGCCGTAAAAACACGGCTCTGGTATGCTACGGGTTTCCCTGTATGCCTATAGGTAGGAGTAGTGGTAGGTAGGTAGTGTGAGGAAAAATTGAGAGAAGAGTATAGTTTTATAATAAAAAAAAAAAAAAAAACAATTCCACCCGGTGTTATCCCGGCAGCGTCAGCCGGTTTAGCTTACGAGTATGTTATCTGCAACCATACCGTGTCATCATCTACTTATCCAAGTGAAAGAATGATTAACAAAGCTATGTTTGTACCACCAAACCAGCGACATCTACTAATCCTAATCAACTCCTAAACAGTTGCCTAAGAGGGTCTACCCAGTAACCAGCCTAATACACAGCCCTACTTGTTCAGTCTGGACCCGACCTAAAGCCGCCAGGGGAACAGAGTTCCCTTTAAGTAACAGACCCAGACACTCGCCTACCCACCCAACCCCTTCAGGACTACCGTGGCCACCAACTGGAACCGAGTGCCCTGGTTTGGTTCACTAACCTACTCGACTAGTCCCTAATGTAGTTATGCCAGGAGCCAGGGAGAAATGTGGAGGTTCCCTTCTTGGGTGATGGCCGCCAGTTGATTGTCCCGGGCCCAGGTGACCAGAAACCAGTGGCGTCCTCTTGGTGTGGCACACCTCCTCGCCAGTCTGGACCAATCCATTCTGATCATTACACGTATCCAGTACTTGATCTTCTGGATGATGGCTGCATCATTGGACCATTGCTGCCGAAACAGGATGTTGTTCCTATCCTCCCAGATCACCCACATTATGGCCGAGCGGATTGCTTGAGCCACATAGCCACGGCCAGTGTGTTTGAACCAGGATGGAGGGAGGCGGCCAGAAAGGGCCCAAGTCTCGTCCCATTGGAGTAGGGGACCTACGAACCGGTACCAGTGGCGACTCCACCAATCCCATATGCGTTTGGATGCAGGGCAGCTCCAGATGAGATGGTGTAATGTTTCCTCTGCTCGACATCCGCAGCGTCTGCACTTGGTCTCCAAGTACATTCCTTTCTCAAATAGCCAGACGGCACAGGGAAGCACTGCGTGAGAGATCAGCCACAGTAAGCTTGAAAATTTCCGCAAGGGCAGTGTACTCAGC